TATATTATATTATTGTATATATTAGGATTTTATATGAAATATAAAATACTTTTTCCATTTTTTTTCTTCCACTCCACATTGTGTTTATCGCATAAATAGAATAAATGTTTCTGGTTATAACCTGAGGAAATACAGAATTTAAAGTTTAATTATTCTCTAGCGAGATATTTCAGTGCTCTTGCCGTGTTTTCATGCAGGAATTTAGGACTTGGTTAGAGGAAGAATGGGGTCGCACACTGGAGGAAATCTTCCATGAACACATGCAGGAGCTGATCCTGATGAAGTTCATTTACACCAGTCAATATGAGTATGACTGCTTGTCTTTAATACATTTATTCTCTTCCTGTCGGGCTCCGGTAACATCTTGGATAACCAGAGGTTTCTGTGCTTTCTGTTTGCAGTAACTGCTTGACGTACAGGCGGATCTACCTGCCTCCATCAATGCCTTCAGATCTGCTAGAGCCAGGCTTATTTAAAGGCACATATGGAAGTCACGGCTTGGAGATCGTCATGCTTAGTTTCCATGGGACTTCTGCAAGAGCCACTAAACTTACTGTACGTTTCCCAGTCATTTCTTTCAGACTGATAGAAAAATTGGTTCATATTATTAAATGGAAAATGCTCCTCAAATTGTTCAAAAACGTTCTGAAATAGACCACTTTTGACTTTAGCTAAAGTTTTCTTCTACTGAGAATCTTTCTTTGAATTGTCTCTGCTTTGAGCTAACTCTATGGTTTGAAAATTATTTTTTCCTCATCCTTCTTTTAGGGAGACCCAAACGTTCCTGCAGGGCAACTCACACTGGACGTCGACCTGAGCCAGCCTGTGGACCTCCCGGAGTTAGACCAACAGAAAAACATTGATGTGCTGTCACGGATTATATCAGGAATACATGAGAAAGTACAAAGAGAGGTGGAACACCCGGCTAGCGACTCCTCTGCTAGTGCAGGACATCCAGCGGAGGAAGCAGGTGCTGCTGCTGCTGCTAAAGTAGTAGAAGATGACCATGGTGCCTGCGAAGATGCATCCCAGTCTGAGCCCAGCAGTAGTAGCCATCCTCCTGAAGCTCAGCCCTTTGTTTTGCCTTTAGGGGTCATGGCTCGCAATGAGGTGTACCCTCGCACCTGCAGGAAATGGTGAGGACTCAGATAATGGGTGGCATTTCACCTTAAACTCCAATATTACTTTCATACCTTTGTTTGTACTGGGTGGGGTTTCGTATTTTTGGAGAGTGGGAGAAAGTTTTTTTCTTTTGAAATTGAATTTTTACCTAGAATGTTAGTTTTTTGATTTACCCAAATATAGTTCAGCTGGGTAGTGTTGAGTGTGAAAAGTTTTAGAGACTAGAGCTGGACCGACTTTAAAAAAGTGATACCATATACGATATACTATTTATCGGCCAGAATATAAAAAAAACTGAACATGGCCATACACAAGATTTACAGTGCTCAATTAAAGTCGAAATCAAATTCTCATAATAACCAAAAATATGATTCAAGACAAAGAAACAGAACATAGCTTTTAAAACATCCAAACAGGAATATAATTAAATATATAAGTTGGAGCCTTTTAAAAATTAGTTTAATGAAAACATTAACTTCTGTCACCATGAAGTGTAGTTGGACACAATATGATAATCTTATCTTCCTTTTAAGGTTATATTTATTTCACCGAGTTAAAACGTACACAAGCTAAAACGCTCATATGGTCGCCAAAACTAGCGTCTGCTCTCCTTTATGCGCTCTGACAGCATGTCAACACCAGGACGTTTGTTGTCATGGGGCAAAAAATGTAGTTTAACAAAATCACAGCTTACCATGGAGTAAACTGCATACTTTCTTACTTCCTCCACCTCTATGCTCACTCTAGCAGCAGCTGTGAGCGTGTGTGAGGGAGGGACGGTGCAGTTGACAGGATCAGTGCCTGGACGAAATTAGCACTCAGGCTTTCCGCACTTTTACAGTTTTTTTGGAAGTTTGTTCCAGATAAGTGGAGCCTAGGAACTAAATGCTGCTTCTCCATGTTTAGTTCTAGTTCTAGGTATGCAGAGCAGGCTGGAGCAAGAAGACCCGAGTGGTCTGGAGGGTTGATACACTGATAGCAAGTCTGTGATGTGTTTAGGTGCTAAGCCATTCAGGGATTTATAAACTAACAGAAGTATTTTAAAGTCTATTCTCTGAGATACAGGGAGCCAGTGTAAGGACTTTAGAACTGGGGTGATGTGCTCTACTTTCTTAGTCTTAGTGAGGACACGGGCAGCAGCGTTCTGGATCAGCTGCAGCTGTCTGATCCACTTTTTAGGCAGACCTGTGAAAACACCGTTGCAGTAATCAATTCGACTAAAAAATGAACGCATGGATTAGTTATTCCAGATCATGCTGAGACATTAGTCCTTTAATCCTGGAAATGTTCTTCAGGTGATAGAAAGCCGACCTTGTAATTGTCTTTAAATGCTTTTGGAGGTTCAAGTCTAATTTCAGTAGCTGTGATCATCACGGTGAAGGCGGGCTGAAAGCCAACATCAAGTCTCTACAAACTTGCATTTATTGTGACAAAAAGCCAGCAATCACCACAGCTTTAAAAGCCTTTAAACCCACATAAACCTATGATTCTGTACCAACTACATTGGTATAAGTTTGCGGGATCCACTGGTATGCTTTCTAAGGTAATAATAATCACTGTCTAATCTAACTGATTAAAAAAAGTTAGCTTTAATTTAAGCAGTTCACTTATTTTTAGAAGAGAAACGTAGCAACTTCAGCATCCCTTTTGAAATCTCTCCTTCAGCTCCTTCTACTTGGAGAAGGCTTTTATTGTCTTAAGTTCTCTTTCACTTTCTTGCCAATGTT